ACCAGAGTCCTACATCATCAACTGAACTATCGAGGACAGCTATACGTAAATACATGTAAGCGTTTGTATTTCCGTGAGTGTAGTTTCCAAAGAAACCACGATAGTTTGAATCTCTGTCTCTCCCTTCCACTCTAACCCTCCTCCTACCCAAGCATTCATGCTATTGTTAGTCCAGTCCACTAGGGATCTGTTTTCATTGTATTACGTTAGTGATCAATAACCTATGTGTGCGTGTGTGTTTGTATTCTGTGTTATTATTTAGTTAGTTAGTAAATAAATAATTAAGCCAATTTGTGTATTGCTGTTCATCAATAAGGTTAGGGTTCTTGCAGGTTCAAGGATTATGCAACGTTCAGAGTGAGACTGATAAGAGGTAATTATTTAATAAGTGACTGCTAGCGATATATAACATATATCTTCTAAGAGTTTAATTTGGGAGATGGTAACTTGTTAAACAACTTCTTCCAAATTTCTAATGAGTTAATTGTTACATGATTAATTTAATCGAGTGACGATTAAACATAGTTAGATGATTCGATAAATAACAGTCATACATTAAAGTAAGTCACGTCACAACATAAGCGTCCGGATTAGTGTCCCGCTCCTTGAAAGCGGCAGCGCTAGCCTTTAGCTCGGTGCAGATGTTGCCTGTAATCCATGGCTTCTGTTTGAGATATGTACGTATGGTCACTGTGGGGACGACGTCGTCGATGCACTTATTGATGAAGCCGGTGATTAAGGTGGTATACTCCTCAATGCCATTGGCTGAATCCCGGAACATATTCCAGTCTGTGCTAGCAAAACAGTCCCATAGCATAGCATCTGCATCATCTGACCACTTCCATATTGAGAGGAGTCACTGGTACTTCCTGCTTTAGTTTTTGCTTGTAAGCAGGAATCAGGAGAATGGAATTATGGTCAGATTTGCCAAATAGACGGCGAGGGAGAGCTTTGTACGTGTCTCTGTGTGTGGAGTAAAGGTGGTCTAGAGTTTTTTTTCCTCCACTAGGAGCTCCACTTTTGGATGAGCATTTTCTTGTTTGCTTATGGCCTTATATAGCTCGTTGAGTGCGGTCTTAGTGCTTAGTTCTGTCATCTGAATTAGTCATTTTGTTTGTTGACATTTTAGTCATTTAGAAGATTCTCTTACCTAGAACTGTCACGATCGTCAGGGAGAGACCAAGGCGCAGCGTTGCAGGTGAACATATTTATATTTATTTAATGATCACACGATCAAAACAACAAACGAAAAAACGTGACGTCTATGGTTTAAACACAAACCAACACGAACAAGAAACCACAAACACAAAGTGAAAGACAGACAGTTAAATATGGCTCCCAATCAGAGACAACCAGCTGACACTCGTTGCCTCTGATTGGGAGTCACTCAGGCCAACATAGAAATACAAACATAGAATACACACCCTGGCTCAACATAACAGTGTCCCCAGAGCCAGGGCGTGACAGTACCCCCCCCTAAAGGCGCGGACTCCGACCGCGCCAACTAAATACCACAGGGGAGGGACCGGGTGGGCACTCCGCCTTGGCGGCGGATCCGGCTCCGGGCCTGATCCCCACTCCCTCTCCAACCCCCCAAAGTACCCCTGGTCCAGTCTGGCCCCGCTGGCCGGAGCTGGACTGCACACTGATGGAGCGGATTGCTCTAGCTCCGGCGTAACGCATCTGACCGGTGCCGGACCAGGCACCAGTGGAACAGGCACGGGCCGTGCCGGACCGACGACGCACACCACTGGCTTGGTGTGGGGAACAGGCACGGGCCGTGCTGGACTGACGACGCACACCACTGGCTTGGTGTGGGGAGCAGGAGCGGGCCGGACAGGGCTGACGAAACGCACCACAGACTTGGTGCGGAGAGCAGGAACGGGCCGGACAGGGCTGACGAAACGCACCACAGACTTGGTGCGGGGAGCAGGAATGGGCCGGACTGGGCTGGCGACGCGCACCACAGACTTGGTGCGGAGAGCAGGAACGGGCCGGACAGGGCTGACGAAACGCACCACAGACTTGGTGCGGGGAGCAGGAATGGGCCGAGCCGGGCTGACGAAACGCACCACAGACTTGGTGCGGGGAGCAGGAATGGGCCGAGCCGGGCTGACGAAGCGCACCACTGACTTGGTGCGGGGAGCAGGAACGGGCCGAGCCGGGCTGACGAGACGCACCACAGACTTGGTGCGGGGAGCAGGAATGGGCCGGACTGGGCTGGCGACGCGCACCACAGACTTGGTGCGGAGAGCAGGAACGGGCCGGACAGGGCTGACGAAACGCACCACAGACTTGGTGCGGGGAGCAGGAACAGACCGGACCGTACTGGGGACACACACCACTGGCCCTACACCGGGATCTGGAACGGGCCGGACCGGACTGGTAACACACCCCAGTACCTCTCGCCGTGCCTCTCCACCTTCCATCCCCTCTTCGACCAGTGGCCCCCGTAACCTGGCGGCCTCCTCTGCCAACCCGCTGGACCGCTCTATCGCGGCCTCCTGCTGCCCCGACGTCGTGAGCCCCCCCCTAAAAATTTTCTGGGGGTCTCTCCTCCCCGTGGGCCAGGCCTCTATCGTTTTCTCCCAACTCTCGCTCCTCTGTCTCCAACTCCCGCTATTCAGCTCCTCAATGGGCTTGACCCAGTCGAAGCTCTTCCTCAACTGTTCCCAAGTCCACCCTCTCTGCTCCTCACTAGGCTTGACCCAGTCGAGGTTGCCACGGAGATCTGCTGGCGATGGCTCCTGGACACGCTGCTTGGTCCGGTTTTGGTGGTTTCTTCTGTCACGATCGTCAGGGAGAGACCAAGGCGCAGCGTTGCAGGTGAACATATTTACATTTATTTAATGATCACACGATCAAAACAACAAACGAAAAAACGTGACGTCTATGGTTTAAACACAAACCAACACGAACAAGAAACCACAAACACAAAGTGAAAGACAGACAGTTAAATATGGCTCCCAATCAGAGACAACCAGCTAACACTCGTTGCCTCTGATTGGGAGTCACTCAGGCCAACATAGAAATACAAACATAGAATACACACCCTGGCTCAACATAACAGTGTCCCCAGAGCCAGGGTGTGACAAGAACGAATTACAGTTAGTGCATTCATCTTAAGATAACTAGGTGGGACAACCACATATCACAGTCATAGTAAGTAAATTTTTCCTCAATAAAATAGCTATCAGCAAAGTCAGAGCTAGTAAGGGGGGAAAAGAGTCAAGTGCGAGATTGCAAATCTCCTCACTGATTGACCTCATTCTGACAAATAGCCACCACAATTACTTGTTGAGCGGTGTCTTTGCTAATGATCTCAGTGATCACTGTGCTATTGCATGTGTTAGACAGTCCCTCCAGGATTTCATGAAAATAAAGTGATTTCTGCGGCCAAAAATGCTTGTTCTTTTTCACGTTAATTTCATATAAAGCAATAAAAAGTAATGTGCTCAGTTTTAGGATGATTTTAAGCAGAATACATAATTCAAAAACAATTACAAACATTTAAGTGCTCAATTGTGTTTATTTTCTTGAACAAACAGCTCTTTTTCTGAAAGGGGTGGAAGCTAGCTCAGAGTTCCAACATAAAGAAATGCATGCCCACATAATCTGTAGGTACTAAAAAAGATTAAACTAGGACAAAATAAACACCTGGGGTCCAATCTGCAATTAAGACATATTATATCTCAAGTTCATCTTCCATGAATACAATTAGAGACAAAGTGCTCTTTTGGGCTGTTTCTTTTTTTGAACAAACACAGCTCTTTTTCTGAACATAACGAGAGGTGGGGGCTGACCAAGGGCCTAGCTCATCTAGGCCTATATCTCAATGTAATCATCCATTTCATCCTCCATTTCATCCTCCCTATCCTCCTCCATATCAATTGCTCCACTGCGGAGTCGTTGGTTGTGGTACTTGAAGACCAAGGCTCGTAGGTTGTTGTTAGAGGTTTATCGCCTACGGCTGGACAATACAAGCTTGTAGATACTGTTGCTTCGCTCAGCATCAGCTGAGTTTCAGACTGCATCTTTGTAGCGTTTGGCCAGGGTGCTCAGCACAGGAAGTCTCTCTTGAAGTCCATCCCAGAAGATATCCAAATCCACCACCCCACTCACTGTGGCTCTCAGTGCTGCTGGTCCTACATTGGTCAAGTAGGCATCCAGTTAATCTCTCGGTACCTTACTGAAGCCTGGAATAGCCTTGTAGCTGGGCACTCTGTCATCCATAAACGCAATGTGACATGGATCAAACACCCTAACTTCTTGGAGGAACTCAATGGCAGGCTGTCCATCGGACATGTACTTTGTATGTTCTTCCTCTGCATTGCTGTATGCCTCTTCAACAGTGCTCAACATTTTTGTTTTCACAGCAAAGGGCAAGTTGTCAACTGCATCAAAATAGTGTGAACAAGCCTCATACTATAGTTCTTTGTTGGCTGCAATGTTCATCTGCAAGTCGTCTAAATAGTGAAAGATCTTTGTTGTCACGGGGCATCTGCTCTGGAAGATGTTGAGAAGCTGCAGGATGACTGCACTTGTCTGCCATGATGTTCAGCTAAATCTGCAGCGACTGAACCAGCTCTTGGTCTTGTAGCATCTCATGGTGCACTTCGGCCACACACCTGTGAATGATAAGGAATAAAAAAGAGGAACATAAGAAATATTACTTATACTGACTGTGAAATGCCATCACGGCTTTCTGCATAATTACAATGATATAAATAAGCAATAACTTAAGCAATTGTAGAATGCATGTACATTTAAATCATACCTGTATTTCCATCTCTATGAACCCCTTGTAGAGGCCAAACTGCTCTGAGTGGTACTGCACTGCTGAGAGCCATGAGTTCCAGCGTGTTGCACATGGATTGGAAGCCATAGTTGCTCTCTTCTGTCCTGCCAGTTTGGTGGTGAGGAAGGTAAGGTATCTTCTTTTGCGTGCCCCTGCCTGGTAAAACATTTGCGAAAAACTTAGCATGAATGCGTTCAGCTGATCAAAAGGTTTGCGGAAAGCACTCCCTGTGAGCCATGCATGTTATGTGCAGGGAGTTGGGGAACAATGACTGAAGTGCAGCTTTGTAGGCTTTCTTCATGTATGCAGCATTGTCTGTGTCACAGACAATGACGTCATCATTGGAGATATTGTAGTCTTGTAGACATTTCACCACCACCATGGAAACTGTTGAATGGTTGCACTGCTCCAGAAACACTGTCTCTGCGAGATAGGCAAGATTTCTCCCCGAGGTATCCTTTTCAAGTGGTGCGATGAGGATGTTTAGTACACATCTTCCTTCAACATCTGGAGTTTCATCAAAGATGACTGCCACTGGCTTCCCTGCAAGATGTTGCTTGATTTCTTCCTTCACCTTCAGGTAGACATCTCCCAAGTACTTTTCCTGTAGCTGGTGGTATCCAGGGATGGCACCTCCATTCATGACTTTCTCCTTCAGAAAATGCCTCATTTAGGGGTGATCACTTTTGGAAAGGGGCATGTTGACTGCTGTGCAAGTGTGTACCCAATCTTCTCAAATCTGAAAAATAACAATTGCACCAATTAATAAGATAAAATATATATATGTGTGTCATAATCAACTCACACATTCACTCACACACACCTCTCCTCTCCATCAGGCTTGGGGCTTGCTATCAACACGAGATGCACCTCCCATCCCACTCACACACTCTCTCTCTCTCTCTCTCTCAAAAAAACTGCAAATAGATTCAACGCTGATCAATCGCTTTCAATTTGAGGATCAATATTTATTTAGCATAAGTTGTCTTCAAAATACTGAAAACGTAAAAATAGAGTATTGTGGTTGATATGTACTTTTAAAACAGTATTACAATTTCTACAAAATCCAGAAAGATTGTGCTTTCGTGATCCGTATTAAGTTTTAGAGAGATTTAAAACGGTAAAGCTGACAAATTGCTGTCACGATTTCCGCCGAGGCTGCCTCCCCTCCTTGTTCGGGCAGGCTTCGGCGTTCGTCGTCACCGGCTTACTAGCCACTGCCGCTCCATATATCATCATTCCATTTGTCTTGTCTTGTCAATTACACACACCTGGTTCATATCCCCTCACTAGTCTGTGTATAAGTGTTCCCTCTGCCCCCTTGTCCTTGTGGGTGATTGTTTTATGTGAGTTGAGTGTAGCTCGGTGGAGCTACTCGTACCTTGTATTGCCAGGGTAGATTATTCCCCTGTGCCTGTATTTTGTTGGAGCTACCCGTACCTTGTATTGCCGGGGTAGATTGTTCCCCTGTGCCTGTGTTTTGTTGTCACTATCCAGCGCAACTGTGTATGACGGAATAAACTCTGTATTCTGTGATTTACCCTCCTGCGCCTGATTCCTTCTAATCACACAGAATCACCCACCCGCTATGGAGTCAGCAGGAGGCACTATGCTCTTAACCACTAAGCTACCTGCCGCCCAATTCTGGAGCCCTATTTTGAGAGTAAAATATAGCAAAAATATGGCAACCGTAACCCCAAAATTCTTGACAATCACTGGTTTAGATTAAACAACATTTCTTGAATCACACCATCTCAGTAGCACTGTGAATTACTTTATAAGATGATTGCTAAATGTTCTCTTAGTTACTTCATGTAGGTAATATTCATGCTTTGCCTAATCCTCTTTGGTTTAGAAGATACTGTTGCACAAACAACATACTGATTTAGGCTTACACCATCACTGGTATCAGGCTGTATAGCTAGCTATGTTTGCTCTAACAGTACTTTTATTAGCTAGCTAGCCAGCTAACTAGGGATTAGCCTAACACGATTTAGACAACTTGCTAAGAAAATAAACTAGCTGTTTGCAGATGTAAGAAACACAAACTAAGTGTAATTATATAACACTTGTGGATTTATATTGAGACGCAATGTGGAAACAGCATCGTTGTCGTCAACATTGTTGCATACGCTGCATTGACCATGCAGACTGAAAGCAAGTGTCTCGTGGTCAAGCAACAACAAATGCGCTCCTTGAGTGACACGGGGCGGGGCTAGGTCTGTTTGGAAAGCAGCATGGAGAGAGAGAGCAGAGAGATGACTCAAGTAGCGGAGTAAATTATAAAAATGGATGTTAAATACCATAATAGAAGGTCAGGTAAACCAGTCTGTGCATCAATACCGGTATATCGTAAAATACAGTATACCACCCAGCCCTAGGAAGCACGCATCTGCCATTTGCGGTGAATGCATAGGCCTATACAGACATTATTGGGCATGCTGCAAGGTTCAGGACATGACATTTACTATTAGCTTAACCAATTACATGGCTAACTAGCAGCAATCTAGCTAATGGATTTTGAGTTTACAATTCCTCAGATGGTGAATTGGCCACAAATGAATTAGCCTATGTGATAGCCTATTTGTAGCTTACACACAAAATATATAAGCAAATCAATCTCTATTGAATAAAAGACATCCGCAATTCTGGAGCCCTATTTTGAGAGTAAAATATAGCAAAAATATGGCAATTGTAACCACAAAATTCTTGACAATCACTGGTTTAGATTAAACATTTCTTGAATCATACCATCTCAGTAGCACTGTGAATGACTTTATAAGATGATGCGACCAAATCAACGGGCTGGTGCCACCAACTGAAAATGTGAGTGGCTACAGTGCCACCAGGTGGAGCCCTGCTTAACCCACACACTCGTGTGCAAATTAAAGATTGTTAAAGCTCGAATCCGTATTTAGGGAAACAGTGCCATCTTTGTTTTGTTGATGAAACAGAGCCGAGGAACGTAAGGCAGAGTGGTTGCAGTACATATTCTGCTGTTCTATTGCGCATGCAAGGTAAAAAAAAAGAAGGTGTTTGGTGTTTGCAGTAACCTCTGTTGTAATATTCCAAACGCACGTGGTAGTTTCACCAAATAAGGATTTTAGCTTTTAAACTACTGAAAAATATGTCTCTGGATTAAAAATGTCATAACCATGTATATGTCTATCAACTTCAATGTCATATCTCAACAACAAAAAATGTTAATTGCACATCTTAACTCCTACCTGTGACTGACATTCTAAAGCCTGCATGCAACATATGCCGTGGGATTTTTCACTTTAACCACTGGCAAAAGGGCACCCTTTCTGTACATTTCCTGTGTCACTGTGTCAGAAATAGAAAGCTGAACAGTTCTAATTGGATACCCTGTCTCCTTTATTTCTAGCAGAACTTCTTTGAGCGCAAATCATTTTAAAACTGGTCTAATAGGTCTAATGGGTCTAAACTGGTCTAATGGGCAGGTGGAACGGGTAAATCAGGATGTGGGTAGGTTCCTGCGGTCCTACTGCCAGGACCGGCCGGGGGAGAGGTCGGTGTTCTTGCCATGGGCAGAATATGCCCAGAACTCTCTCCGCCACTCCTCTACTAACCTAACGCCATTCCAATGTGTTTTAGGTTACCAACCGGTTCTGGCACCGTGGCACTAGAGCCAGACCGAGGCTCCTGCGGTGGATGACTGGTTTCGGCGTGCGTTGTCAGAAGGCTAACGCTGACCGCCACCGCAGTGAGGCCCCGGTCTTTGTACCGGGGGATCGGGTCTGGCTCTCGACCTGGAATCTGCCCCTCCGCCTGACCTGCTGGAAGCTGAGCCCGCGGTTTGTGGGGCCGTTCAAAATCCTGAGGAGAATCAACGAGGTCACCTATAGGTTATTACTTCCCCCTGATTACCGTATTAACCCCTCGTTTCATGTGTCTCTCCTCAGGCCGGTGGTGGCTGTTCCGCTCCAGGAGTCTGAGGTGCGGGTGGTTCCTCCACCTCCTCTGGACATCGAGGGGGCCCCGGCGTACTCTGTCCATCCATCCTGGATTCGAGGCGTCGGGTGGGGGGCCTTCAGTACCTCGTGGAGTGGGAGGGATACGGTCCGGAGGAATGGTGCTGGGTCCCGGTGAAGGATATCCTCGATCACTCCCTGTTGCGGGATTTCCACCGTCGCCATCCGGCTCGCCCAGCTCCGCGTCCTCCTTGCTGCCCCCGAGGCCGGGTTTGGCGCGCTGCTGGAGCTGCACGTCAAGGGGAGGGGGTGGGGTACTGTCACGACTTCCGCCGAGGCTGCCTACCCTCCTTGTTCGGGCAGGCTTCGGTGTTCGTCGTCACCGGCTTACTAGCCACTGCCGCTCCATATACAGTTGAAGTCGGAAGTTTACATACACCTAGATTGGAGTCATTAAAACTCGTTTTTCAACCACTCCACAAATTTCTTGTTAACAAACTATAGTTTTGGCAAGTCGGTTAGGACATCTACTTTGTGCATGACACAAGTAATTTTTCCAACAATTGTTTACAGACAGATAATTTCACTTATAATTGACTGTATCACAATTCCAGCGGGTCAGAAGTTTACATACACTAAGTTGACTGTGCCTTTAAACAGCTTGGAAAATTCCAGAAAATGATGTCATGGCTTTAGAAGCTTCTGATAGGCTAATTGACATCATTTGTCAATTGGAGATGTACCTGTGGATGTATTTCAAGGCCTACCTTCAAACTCAGTTCCTCTTTGCTCAGTGCCTCTTTGCTCATCATGGGAAAATCAAAAGAAATCAGCCAAGACCTCAGAAAAAAAATTGTAGACCTCCACAAGTCTGGTTCATCCTTGGGAGCAATTTCCAAACGCCTGAAGGTACCACGTTCATCTGTACAAACAATAGTACGCAAGTATAAACACCATGGGACCACGCAGCCATCATACCGCTCAGGAAGGAGACGCGTTCTGTCTCCTAGAGATGAACGTACTTTGGTGTGAAAAGTGCAAATCAATCCCAGAACAACAGCAAAGGACCTTGTGAAGATGCTGGAGGAAACAGGTACAAAAGTATCTATATCCACAGTAAAACAAGTCCTATATCGACATAACCTGAATGGCCGCTAAGCAAGGAAGAAGCCACTGCTCCAAAACCGCCATAAAAAATCCAGACTACGGTTTGCAACTGCACATGGGGACAAAGATCGTACTTTTTGGAGAAATGTCCTCTGGTCTGATGAAACAAAAATAGAACTGTTTGGCCATAATGACCATTGTTATGTTTGGAGGAAAAAGGGTGTGCTTGCAAGCCGAAGAACACCATCCCAACCGTGAAGCACGGGGGTGGCAGCATCATGCTGTGGGGGTGCTTTGCTGCAGGAGGGACTGGTGCACTTCACAAAATAGATGGCATCATGAGAAAGGACAATTATGTGGATATATTGAAGCAACATCTCAAGACATCAGTCAGGAAGTTAAAGCTTGGTCGAAAATGGGTCTTCCAAATGGACAATGACCCCAAGCATACTTCCAAAGTTGTGGCAAAATGGCTTAAGGACAACAAAGTCAAGGTATTGGAGTGGCCATCACAATGCCCTGACCTCAATCCTATTTGTGAGCAGAACTGAAAAAGCGTGTGCGAGCAAGGAGGCCTACAAACCTGACTCCGTTACACCAGCTCTGTCAGGAGGAATGGGCCAAAATT